CTGGTTTCAGTTCCACCAGGGAGACCTCCTGACGTCACCAATGAGAAGAGCTATGGGGGCACGGGCAGCGCCCAGCCCGCCAGCCCAGGCGCAGCCCCTCCCCGCATGAGCGCCCCTCTCAGGCGAACAGGTGACTCCATCCCTCTAGAGTGTTCTCTCCGGCCCCTCTGCCAGGCTGGTCGATGCGGAATCCATCTTCTCTCCCAGCATCGTGTCCAATCGAGGGGCCACCCACAGCGTGCTGGCCCAAGCCCGTGTGTGGGCACCTGCCAGGGCCCCCTCGCTCATGACCGTGCTGAGGCCTTGCTCCTCAGGACGCACCCCCCACCTCTGCCCAGGGGGTCCCTTCCTCCCTCTTCTCCCTCCTCCCTCTTCTCCCTCCTGCCTCTCCCTCCCCCCTCCCTCCCTTTCTAAAAGTGTGTTGTTGGCTGTTTGTTTTTACTCATTTCAGAGAGGAAGGGAGAGGGAGAGAGAAACATCAATGATGAGAGAGAATCACTGATCAGCTGCCTCCTCGCCCCACACGGGGATGGAGCCCGCAACCCGGGCCTGTGCCCTGACCGGGAATCCAACTGTGACCTCCGGTCAGGGCGCATGCCTGGGCTGCGGGCTGGATCCCCAGTAGGGGGTGTGCAGGAGGCAGCTGACCCATGGTTCTCGCTCCCTCTCCCTCTCCCTTCCCCTCCGAAATCAATGAAGACATATCCTTTAAGATAGAAAACCAGAGTCTTTCCATAGCTAAGGGCAGAGGTGTTAAGATCCAAAACCCAGAATCCAGAAAAGGACAGTTGGATCCAACCACGTGAGGCCTGACAACGTGTATAGATACAGTGACGACAAGTCAGACACGTGGAAATAGCTGCAAAACGCCCGCCACGGGGAAGACTGGGCTCCGGATACACAACGCGGCCTGAGAACCAATCAGAAAAGACAGACACCACACGGAGGGGTGACCCCGGGCACGTCGGGCTGTTCCGGAAGCAGCACCACGGCTGACACACACACAACACGGTCACTCGCACTAATAATTTTTCAAACAGCAATTCGATGAGAGTCTGGTTTTCGTCCCCCAGCCGGGCAGACACTCCTAGA